TTGCTTTAAGAAATACCTTTTACACCAAATTCATAAACAATAAAATTGTAGTTAGGGTAATTACGTTAGTCTATACAGTTAACATAAATTTAAACAGTGTTTTTAATACAAAATACCATCTTTTTCACCAAAGTTTTACTCTGTTGGGAATGTTTATTTAAAATTCTGTTCAGCCTAGTCTACTAACTATAGAGCGGATGGTGTTGGTAGTATCTCAGTTATGATGTTTTCTCTGTTTTTTCAGGTTGCTGGTTTACTTTCAGCTATCATAGTGATGATTGTCACTCTGGCTGTCGGATTTCTTCTGGAGCCTTTACCAAAGGTGAGTGAACTGCCGTCCTACCTGTTAAAGGAAAGCTCTGTGTTTACACCTTGAAGCTCTATCTCTCCAGTTCGTTTTCCTGAAAAGAGAGGCACAGATGAACCGTGCCGAGCCCTACTAGTGAACATAGTACTAGATGTAGTGCAGTTTGGTTGTGTCCAGCATGGTGCAGTCCAGTTGCGTTCCATTTACACTCAACAGTTGCCTCGGTTACTGCGCTCGGGCCGTTCTCTGCACGCTTTCAGAAGGCTAGTGTAAATGTTGCATTAGGCTGTGATGGTAACCCAGTGACTCTAAACTCTGTGTTTTGACAGTCTGTGTTGGGTGCCGTGGTCATCATCAACCTAAAGGGCATGCTGATGCAGTTCGGGGAGATTCCGTACCTGTGGAGGAGAGACAAACCTGATTGCGTAAGACAACAACCAACATACCAACTAAGTTAAAAAGGTCAGTAAATGTCTCGCATTTATTAAAGAAACATCTTTCTTCTGCTGTTTGCAGGTGGTGTGGGTGGTCACCTGTATTGCAGCCATCTTGCTGGGGTTGGACCTTGGTCTGGGTGTTGGTCTTGGTGTGGAGCTGATCTCCGTCGTCCTCAGGGTCCAGTTGTCAGTATCTGGCCAGGCTCCTTTTTCTAATGCAATACTTAATGTTTAGTTTGTCTCCTAGCTTAGAATTAACTAAAAAAAAAATAAAAAATACAGCCAGAAACAAATGCTACAGGGTTTATAATATAAAGGAGAAATATCTTCCTATTCAGAGATGTCAAAAGTTTTAATGTTTATTACTCCAGTATAAATCCCACAGTTTAAAAACACTTTTTGTAGAAGTTAAGAGGATCAGCTTAAGTTTTTTACTCAAGTAAAAGAATAAAAGTACCATTTTTAAAACTACTCAAAGCAGTGTTTCCTATCCGGGGATACACGCGCCCCTAGTGGTACGCGAGTGCATTGCAAGGGGTACATGAAAATATTTTATTTCTTGGGTAGTTCTGCTTTGTGAGGACTCAGTTGAAAAATTAAACGCAATTTTATCAACTATAAAGTAAGTTTTCCTTATATATTTGAGTTCACCTTTAGCTTTAACAGACATCCAAACAAAGCAGAGGAACAGCCAGGATGTAGAGAACAGCCCATCAAAGCTCATCAAAGCAGTTCAGGTGTCTGGATGAAAATAAAATAAAACTAATTAAGTCCGTCTGACTATAATTTCTGTTCCCTATTCATCAAGTTTAAATGTTATTTTAAGGGAGTTACTCAAAGAAGCTCCAATTTTATAAATACAGGTTTATAATAGGATTTTATTTTATTTTGTTTTTTAGTTATGTAACATATTTATGTGGATTTTTTAACATAAAACTATAAAAATTAAATTCTCAAAATAAAAGATTAAGTAAAATAGTTAGACTTCCTTTTCTTTGTTTTATAACTAATGGTAACAGTGTCAAATTTTACTTTGCATCATCTTGAAAAACTATTTATTTTGGTTTGTGGTGAGCAACAAGTTGGGGCAGCACCGAGTCAAACCACAAAGAAATTAATTGTCTGGATGAAACTAATTTTGTTGGTTTTTGTTTGGTTTTAAATACCAACAGGCCGTGATGAAAATGAGCTTAAATAAAACAAAACTAAAATGTAAGGAAGAGAAGTAAATGGTGGTCTAGAAAATAATTACTCCAATAAAGTATAGATAGACAACATTTTTTACTGTAAAATAATAAAGTACTTTGTTTTTTGTACTTTGTTACTTCACTCCTTTATTCCTAGTAGATACTTCACTATCTATCTATCTATCCTCTAGGCACTTAATTTAGCATTAATAATGTGATAAATGTCAATCTATGTTTGTATTATCAATGACCAGATGCTAAATAGAAGATTAGATAATTATTAATGTTAGATTTTGTTGTTTTTCTCTTTTGTTCGCAGCCCGCGTTGCAGTTTACTGGCTAACATCAGGGGGACGGATATTTACAAAGACAGGAAGGACTACACCAGTGTAAGTCGAAGCTCTCTTTATGGGATTTAATTAGATATTTCTATGCAAATAACACACATTTCATCTGTTACAAACCTGCCAGCTCCTCACAGAGCAGCTGAATTAGTACTGAGATAAAGGGTGATTATTATCTCTGTATAGTAAATAGATAGAAATAAATATAGAAATAAACTTTAAGTAAATTTAATTGAATATTTACATCCTGCTTTTGAGTTGGTTGGTCCTTGGTTGGTCCTTGGATGAACCTTGATTGGTCCTTGATTGGCCCTTTGCTGGTCCTTGGCTGGTCCTTGATTGGCCCTTTGCTGGTCCTTGGTTGGTCCTTGGATGAACCTTGATTGGTCCTTGATTGGCCCTTTGCTGGTCCT